TATTATTTTTTTTCAGTAATATTATATAATATTATCAGAAGTTGGCATATAATAATCTATTAATATTAAGGGATAATTATTTAATATTAATAACAGTAAAATATTAATTAATATACTCTAATAAGATTTAATTCTAAGAATACGCAGAAAATATTACTTAATATTAAATAATATTACATACTTATAGGATGATGATGATCATATAATATTACAGTGGATGATTATATTATTAGAGCTATAATTCGAAAAATGATTTTTTAGTTTGTATAGAAATAAAATGAATATATTAAAAGGTTTGCATACATGATAATTTTTAATGGACAACTGTGCATCAAAGTACGTTAAAAAGGTAGATGCTAATAGATAAATATTAACTTACATAATTATGAATCATGAAGTAAAAAGGTAACAATATTAATTCCTGATATGACGAATTAAAAAAATTTAAATAAATGATAAACGGGCAATTGGAAATTGGCACAGTGAACGGTGTGTAAATTAGCTTTAAAAGGTTTTACTACAGTATTAACATCTTGACAGAAATACACACGAATTATATTCAGAGGTTTGTTGTGGGGTTTTAGTCATTTTTAACCATCCAGTCTTGTGACTGGTGAGATCGTCTCTTTAATGGAGGAATGATTACCGCATAGTGATTACGACTGAATTAACGCCACTTATTGTAACAACTCATTTGTTCAACTACATGGATCGTTGTTAAGAGTCTCTATTTGAAGAAGGCTAGAATACTAGCCGAAACATGTTCAATTTACTCAATTTTATTATGTTATTTTATTAAGATAAAACTTTTTAAAGCTAATTACGCACCGTTCACTGTGCCAATTCCCGTTTGTCATTTATTTATATTTTTTGCATAAAGTAAAAATGACAATAAAATTTATAGCTGCGTTCAACAGAGAAAACTAATTAGCGCTTAGTGATTCTTCAAAACAATTGGCTGCTACACTTAGATCCAATGAAGAACTAAAGGCGAGAACCAATTATATTTATTAAAGAATCACTAAGCGCTAACTGGTTAGTTTTCTCTGCTGAATGCAGCCTATATTTGGTAACGCGATCTTTTTCTATCTACAATTACCGTGTCAATTCGTTCGGACATACTTTCTATTACGCGTTTTAAGTAATTTATTTTGATTGCTTTACTATATGATACCTACACATATATGATATCTATGATACCTACACATTAATCAAACCCACGATTAATTGACATTTGTTGGTGATACATTTTTTGGAAATTTTCCTTTTCATCAATTTACAAAGATTCTCAATGGGATTGACTAAATGACATATATCTGAGAGATAATGTTACCTACAGTAATATATTAAGTAGATTTAAAATTTGTAAATGTCAATATTTCATAAAAAAAATAATAACACAATATCACTATATTTTTTATTAAAAAATTAATTGCAACTTTAATGTAAAATCGTGCCGATTCTATTTGACCCAATGTAAATATTTTATGATATTTAAATATTTTACAACTGATATTGGAAATGACAGAATCTATGCATAGTCTATTGCGTCGACATTAGGTAATTCTGTTGACAGAATACGAGTTTAATGTGGACGCAGCTGATGCCAATCTGCCGCGTTCTTCCGCTTCAATCTGCTATTTAACATCCCAGTAACTGCTCGCCAATAATGTGCCAACAAAGCATATTTATC